TAAGTTTAGATTTATCTAAAGAGTTGAATGGATTGTCGGGTGAGGTAGAAATAGCTGATCCAACCCTAGAGCGAATGGATGTTACGTGGGGTGATTTTGTCTCCTAAAGTCTAGATGGAGTAGAGGTTACGAACCAAGCACGAAACGTCTCCCTAAGAACCACCCTTTGATCTCTAAATTATGAAGCCTATAGAAAGTAACAAGCCCTAGAAAATACGATGCATCCCGACACTCCTCTGTCATCATCTCGTTAATGAAAATCATTCGGGGACATGAGTGCGTCGAAAATGAGGGCTCGGATCTAAGTTGTGGGACAAGAAGAAAAAAAAAAGAAGTGACGCTTGTCAAATTCCAACGTCCTAGAAGCCCGGGATTGCACGAAAAGGAAAAGAAAAAGAATGCAAAAACAAGAATAAAAAGGAAAGAGGTAGGGCGAAGAAAAATAGTGAAAGTATGGGCCAAGTAATTTTTAGAGACCTCGATTGGGATGTGTTTAGGAGACATGCTTGGCAAGAAAGAGATACTCCATTTTAGGTTGCGGGAAACAATAGAAATCCCATTGATAAACTTTCGTTTGAATGTTGGAGAAGATAGAGTACACCAAACCCGATTTCATTCACAGCGACTCTAATCCGTACCACCAATCCACTTCAAACCCCATTTGTTTTCTGATTATATTTTATCACCCCTGGATAGTTTCATAGCTGCACACTTACTCGAGGACGAGCAAACCTCAAGTATGGGGGGGATTTGATCACACGGGATTTTCACCGGTTTTTCCAACGTCTTACATCATACTTTGCACATACCTTAGGCATAATAGGACGTTAGACGGTCATGGGTAGGATTCTTTTCTCCATTTTTCATGCAGGATGATCGCACGAGGACATTCACGCACAAGGCACGGAAAAGGAGCGGAATCGAGAAGTCCCAGAAGGCTAAGAGAAAATGGGCGGCCCGCTCATTTTGCCGAGCGGTCGCCCATTGGCGAAATTTATCCCGAAAATTTGCTCAGAGAAAATGGGCGGCCCGCCCATTTAATCGAGCGGTCGCTCGATGCCGAAATCACGGGAACAGGGGTCATTCGAGAAACCAGGCGATCGCCTGTACGCAATGAAGAACGAGCGGTCGCTCGAACAAACGAGCGGTCGCCCGGAACCAGAAAAACGGGCGACCCTGAAGACGAAAACGGGCGACCCTGAAGAAAAAGTGAGCGACGGCCCGTTATTAAATCCGGCCCAAAAAAGAAAAGCCCGATTTTTGAGGAGAAACCTAGCTGCTGCACTTTCATAAAAAGGGGTTTTGTTTGAGGAGAGAGGAAGGGGGCTCGACCAACTTGAAGAAAAACACCTTGGGGAAGTGAAAAAGGAGATTTTGGAGACCTAGGAAGCTTGGAGAAGAAGAAGACCACCATTGAAGACCATCTTGAACTTCTCTTTTTCCTTTCTATATTTCTTCATTTTGCTTTCTGTTTTGAAACCCTAGGCATGGAGTAGTAACTTTTGTTGTGGGGGAAGGATCCCCACTTTTGTATGGACATCTATGCTTAATCTATGATGCTTTTGAGTTTTCTTCCATGGGTTTGATGTTTTGTACTTAATGCTATCAACTTTGGCGAAATCTTAGTTGGTATGATGTTAGAACACATTGATCATAGGGATATGGGGATGAGGTTTGGAACCAAACATCGAATGAGTGAGTTATTCACATTGGGAGATGGCTTAGCTTGCTTAGGGTTCATGATGGGGTACGTTAATGCATCTAGAGATCATTTGGATCATTGGGAAATGGGTGAATCGATTCTCTAGGTAGTGAGTTTAAGCTCGGGAGAGACAAACCCTAGATGAAGTGCTTGAAACCCCCCTTTTTGGAAGATAAACCCGTAGGTATTGTAGCATCATCAACCATCCATGCAATTCTTGAGGGATCCCGAACCCACAACGCCTCAATTCCATCGTTTTACAACCCGTTAATTTTGCTTGCTTTCTTGTATTCCGACACTCATCAGAAATCATATTTTTATTTAACCATCAATCCAGCTTAGGGATAGATTAACACAACCTAGTCCTCGTGTTCGACCCCGTTACTACAACTACTGTATACTTGCGGATAGTGGTACGAATCGGGTACTAAATATAAGACTCGGTGCGTGCGCATCAGTCACTTCATGGTGCAAGAAGGGATTGTTTTAGGACATAAGATGTCTTCTAGGGGAATCGAGGTAGACAGAGCGAAGATAGAGGTTATTGAGAAGCTTCCACCACCCGTGAACGTCAAAGGCATCCGCAGTTTTCTAGGACATGCGGGATTTTATCGGCGGTTCATCAAGGACTTCTCCAAGATCTCTAGACTACTTACCGAGCTATTGGCGAAAGATGTACCATTCAGGTTCACTGCAGAATGCTCGAAGGCCTTCCAGACTTTGAAGGCAGCTCTGATCTCACCACCGATCATACAGCCCCCCGATTGGACTCTACCGTTTGAGCTGATGTGCGGTGCTAGCGATTATGCGGTTAGAGCGGTGCTGGGGCAGAAGAAGGATCACAAACACCACGCCATCTACTATGCGAGTCGGACTCTTGATGATGCGCAGGTAAATTACACTACTACTGAGAAAGAGTTACTTGCTGTGGTGTTTGCTTTTGAGAAATTCAGGTCGTACTTGGTGGGACGGAAAGTGATCGTATA